TTTTTTTTTTTTTTCAGGCGTCCGAGATAACAGGGGCACCGAGTTCTTGCTGACATTTCTGGAAAACTTTCAGAGGGATGAACATCAGCCCGCACTGTTCATCACCACCCAATCTCCGACAGCGACCGTTACGATCACACTTCCGATCACAGTTACGGTCACCAATGGGCAGGCGAGTCTTTGTCTCATTTCTACAGATACTGTCATGGTCATTGTCATTGTTCCTACGAAATCTCACTTCTTGTTTGACTATTGAGGTTTTTTGACGTACCTCTAGGTTCTCCTCTAGCTGGCATAATTACCAAATACTCTCTAATGCTCGAGTCACATTTCCAAGCCGGGGCTCGGCCGAGTTTCTGAGAACAAAACGAATAATAAAAAAGACGATAAATCACACACAACGTTTAAAGACAACTATAAGCATAATTTTTTCATATTCTTAATGATTTTTTTTATTTTTGTTCATTTAAACAACCCGGAAGGGACCTGGATTAGAATTGTGACCCCCTCATTAGTCCCAGTACAGGAATAGTTTCTTTCCACTAAAATACTATTCAGCTATTCAACTATTTACCAACACATTCCACCTCTGAGAACTGATTTTAGCGTACCGCTAGGCTCTCATGTATCCCACATCATTACTCTATCTAAATGTCGTTATTAATTATGCAAATGCCAGAAAGTCCCCTGCAGTTCCAGAACTAGGTGCTAGGAGGACCAAGCCCACACAATTTATTCCTGACAGGAAACGCTATATCTATCAACAAAAAGTAAAGAGTACTAAAGACCATACAATGTTCAGGACAAAAGACAAAAAAAGGACGTTCTGCTGCAGTACCAAAGTCATCCACCAGGAGACCTATATTTGATCTTGACCTTTGTCTATCTAAGACTTACCAGGATACCAAATATCATTACAATCCATAAAGGCGTTATGAAGTTATGCTGACTACAAATGTGCGGAAACACAAACACACACACACAGACAGACAGACAGACAAACACACAGACAAAGGTCAAAGGTGGTTGGAAGTCGGCATTAGCCCCCGTCGTGATTAAGTCACAGTCCCTTACAATCTTTAAAAGACTATCGTCCCTTACGGAACAATTATCTTCATCTTCATCTTTGCCGGGGCTCTAAGATGTTATACAAGCCCCGGCTACATCCACATATAGCCTCTGTTGGGGCACTTTGGGGG